CATACAACACGTGTTGCCACGTCAGCTCTTCGTCTCATTGGAGGAAAGATCGGGAGTCTAGAACGTAGGACGCACCTTCTTGGTCTCGCTCGAGGTGGTGGAGCGGCAGGGGACCCAGGTGGTAGATGCCCAGGGCGCCGGCAGAGTTGACCATGGCCACGCATGTGCTGTTGGGCGAGAGGCAGAAGGCCATGGGGATCTCCGGGTGGCCGGCGGTGGCGGCGGACTCGCTGTTCTTCTTGGCCTCGAGGTCCATCGCAGCAGCGTTCTCCCGGCTCGAGGTACGCACCAGTGGGTGGTGGTCGAGCGACTTGGAAAGGGCGCGCGCCGCGTGCTTGAGCAGCTCCTCCCCGCTCCTCACCTTCTCCTGGCCCGCCGCTGTCTCATGAACCAGCTTCGTGCGCTTTCCTGATGGTGGGGCGATGTCGTGTGTGAGTAGCGCGTAGTAGAAGAGTGCGATTAAAATAAATAAATGACTGAGAGGGGTACGTACGAGGCGAGGGAGAGGAAACAGAGTCGAGTGTGCTCGTCTGAGGCATGGAATGTAGCACCTGCAGCGTAGCACTGGTATTGTGCTGAAGGTGAGTAGACATACCCTCAAGAGGTATAAAAAGTAATAAAATAAATAAATAAAATAGAGAACGTAGCGGCGAACCTGTCCCGTATTTCGAGGAGGCCGTTGAGGTAGCCCACGAAGACGAGGCCGGAGGCGTGGTGGAGGGCCGTCACGAACGAACCCGACGGCTCATCGTCGCTCTCCACCTCGCCACCCGCGGCGTCGGCCACCACCTCCGTGAACTGCCACCCGGTGTAGGTCTTTTGTTGTCGACGAGCCACACGACACACGACACACACGGTAACACGATAGGCACGACACGCATGTGGACGTGAGCGACAGCTGCAAGGCTGCGCACAAGGAGAAGAGAGAGGAGGGGGAGGGCAGTACAGGGAGGGTATTAGTCGAGATGGTCGACGACGTGGGCGTGGCCGGAGGCGGGGTGGCGATCTGCACCGCGGGAGAAGAGGAGGGAGACGAGGTGGAGGCGGAGGTGGACGAAGCCAGAGACGCAGAGATTTCGGCCCACGCCGAGCTGAGCGGCGCGGCCGACGTTTTGTACTCCCACCGCGTCATCACCGACTTGGAGCCTTTGGCCATGTCTAACGCACACGACGCACACGGAACATTCAACACACACAACTGTAAGGCAAGGGAGTGACCGTCGACGGGGGCGGGTGCCTATACCGGAGGAGACGGTGAGTAGGGCCTTGCCGTGGGAGGCCGGATCGAAGGCCAGGTGGGTGAGCACCGACGGGCGAGACACCGCGCCATCCGGTCGCAGGAGCGGATTGAGCGGGATCGACGAGATCAACCGTGACGTGCACGCTTCAGCGCCACACACACACGACACACGACACACACACAGCCACAGACACACACACACGTGAGACTAACAGGTTCAGGCCGCAAGAAAAGAAGAGAGACGTACAGCCCTTGGTGAGGTCGATGCCCAGCTCGAAGAGGCAGATGGCCGGCCCGATGTGGCTAAAGGTGCCCGCTGCCGCGATCACCACCGTCCCGGCGGCGTTACGGCTGATGTCGACGTGTGCGATCGTGAAATCCGCCGCGTGGAGGCGACCCGGCAGGTTGACCACGCCCCAGCGCTCATCAAACATCTTCTTGTAGAACACGTGCACCTGGCCACAACACCCAACAACAACCAAAACCCAACAACCCAAGGTGTTGGTGGTGATAAGAAAGCAAAGAAGAATGTGAGGATTTTGGGCGTACTGCGCCTGAGGCAGAGACATGAAGGAAGCAGGGAACGCCGGCGGGCGCCAGGGCTCGGTCGAGAGGCACCTGCGACGAACTGCGAGTGATGGAGCCTGGTGTCGGGGGGGGGAGGGGCACGCGTTGAGTGTGTGAGCCGTCATTCGCGCGTTGACGGTGGAGTGAGGTTTGGGGGGAGGGATGAACATACTGCGTTCAGCCAGGAATTTCTCATCGAGGTTCCGAGGCGGCACAGCCAACGATGTCGGTGGTGCGTTGGCGCTCGGCGTGTGGAGAGTGTACTACCGCACGCGACACGGCACGGCAAGACACGACACGACACACACGACACACAGAGGGTTAGCGCCATGTGCGTTGGCAAGAACGATCAAGCCAACAACAGCAGCATGCCCTGTGTGGTTGCTCACCTTGGGGTCGGCATTGAGCCACTTGAGGCCCACGGTGCCCTCGAAGTCGAGTATCTTGATGGGCTTCTTGGCGCGGCTCGCCGGCTCGTCCTCGCCCCACTCGGTGACGTTGTCCTTCATCTCCCAGATGCAGATCTTCTCGTGGTCGGCCGAGAGCAGGAGCGGGCCGCCGAGCGTGGCGGGCGCCCACTCGAGGAACCGGATGGCCCACTTGTGCGGCGTCACGACCGTCGCGTGCTCCTCGGGCACGTTGGCGCTCGCAATGTACAGCTTCTGCCGCGTCGAACCGCTCGGCGTCGGCCTGCAGACGACAACAACAACACCATCACGTGTGTGGCGTAGTCGATGATGATGATCATGAGCCAGGCTGCTTCAACTTCACTGCACCACGTCACGTGACGTGGCCAGGCAGGCTGAGGCTGAGGTTGGGGCGGGGTGGTGCACGTACGTCGCGGGGTCGTGCGCCTGGAGGTCGGCGTCAGCGGCCGAGTAGGCGATGAGGTTGTCGGCAGACCAGGCAACACATCTGCAGCCGGGCGCAGTGAGCGTGAGCGACCATTGTCTATTGAAGCGGTACCACCCACCTGGTGGGTGCCGCCAAGTGCCGCAAGCAGGGGCAAGGTGGATGAGGATGAGGAGGGGGCTGTGTCGTGCCTGTAAGCAGGGAATTGGAAGAATTCAGAACAGATGTGCTGCGTGCTGATCCGGTTGTGACACGTGGTGCCTGACCCACCATGGTGCATCAGATTGACGCGGCACACCTCCTCCATCGCTGCTTCCTCCCGATCACAGCAGCAAAGATGAACACAAACCACAAAACAAAAAAGATAATAAGAGAAGAAAATAAAAGGAAAACAACCACCAATCCTGGTTTTTCTGGCCATTTATTTGCTTATCGTAACTGTGAAGAGGAAGATGGACGCGCCACCAGTTGAAGATCTCGCACAACAGCTCAACGAAACCACCCTGGAAGCGTCGGGTACAGGTTGAGGTCGCCGTAAATCGAGGAGTTCGGATTTGTTCTCTTCCTCCTTTTACATTTGGTTTTTTTTGATGCGTTGGAGATGTTTGTGAGATTTGCATTTGCCTTACTTCTGGCCTTTCGCTGTGCAGGCGAAGATGTGGCACCAGAAGAGCCAACGATTGAAAGCCCCAAGGCGCTCACCTGGCGACGCAACAAGCTGTCGGACAAGGAGCGCTACGAGGACGACTTCTACTTCGAGATCAACGGCAAGCGGATGGTCATCAACCAGGTGAGGCACACATACGCTCTCTCCCCTCCCCTCACTGGCTTACAGCCTGACTCTCCCCCTCCGGCGCTGCAGGATGTGGCCAACGAGCTTGACACCGTGGGGCTCACCGTGTGGGATTCCGTACGCCGCCCACCGTGTGTGTGTGTGTGTTGTGTGTGCAGTGTGTGTCGTGTGCGGTGTGTGCGGTGTGCCGGCGCGCTGAGCACACGAGTATTTACGTGCGTTCGGTGCAGAGTTTGGTGATGATGAAGTACCTGGAGAAGCTGCACAACCAAGGCCGATTCGGTCGTGGTGCGCCATCGTCGAGCCCCGCCCACTATGCGCGCGCATTGAGTCCACCGGCTCACGGATCTGCTCTTTTCCACAGGGATGAAAGTCCTGGAGCTGGGCAGCGGTTGCGCTCCGGTCAGCATTGCCGCCGGCATGCTGGGTATGTGGTGCTTTCACGAATGTAGGCGCAGGGTCGAATTAACGCAGTACTGATGTATGGCAGGAGCACAAGTGACTGCGACCGACGTGGAGTGGATCCTGGTGTTCACCAAGAGAAACTCGGAGCTCAACCGCAAGCTCATCGAAGAGGGTGGTGGTTCGGTCGAGTGTAGAACATTGTATTGGTAAGTGGCGTCATATGTGTATGTGTTTCGCTCACATGCGTATTTAGTTGAACTGACATCATCATGGACCACGATCGTTCGCAGGGGTAGAGAAGCGGACATGGAGGGGCTGCCGCATTTTGACTTTATCATCGCAGCTGATTGTATCTACAAGGAGAAGCAGGTGCAACCTTTCATCGTTGAAGTGGCGTGAGGGTCATGTCATACGAGTCCGTTAACATAACGCGCTTTATGTTCACCAACGGCACACCTCCAGGTGGTCACTCTCCTGAAGACGATGCACCAACTGGCAGATGAGAAGACGAAGATACTGGTCGGGTACGAGCAGCACAATCCAGAATCGGCCCACGCATTCTACGTCCACGTGAACCAGTACTTTGACACCGAGAGCGTATGCATCCCCCACTCGCACATCAACAACGTACTCCCGCGGATCCGTTGCAACTGCGTGTCAGCTGCTGATTGGCATTCGTGTGTGTGTGTGTGTGTGTGTGTGTGTCTGTGTCTGTGTGTCTGTGTGTTCTATCGTGACACGATAGATCCCGCTGAGCCAGCACGATGGCTACTATCAGCATCCCAAGATCAAGCTGATGTGGCTCACCAAGAAGGAATTCACCCCTCCGCCCACCATCTCGGAGGACACGAATTGGGTTTCGGCCACCGCCACGGCGTCAAAGAAGGAACAACAACAGGCCTGACACCACATGTCCTGACGACAGTGCAACAACAACAGCTTTGCATTCCGGTTATTTTCTTGGTTCCAATTCTTTGCATTTACGTTTCGCTTGGCTTTTCTTCTTTTGCCCTCGCCGCAGCGATTCAATTCATCCATCTTCACGTGAGTCGAGTCTCCTGTTCCGATAGACAACCACAGCAGCGTCATCATGGAAGGCCAAGTCGAACAGGTCCCCTCTGCCCCTGCGGAGCAGAAGCAGCAGCCCGCGAAGGGAGGCAACAAGAAGGAGAAGAAGGCCCCAGCCCCCAAGGTCGAAGAGCCCGAATGGATCAAGCATCGCATTGCCATTTGGGATGAATTGAAGAAGCAGAGCGCGCAAGAAGGTGCCTTCACCTGCCCAATTCAAGTCCTATTCTGTTTTTCTACGCAATTTTTACTTAATCTTGCATCCTCCTTGCTCGTGATGTGAAACAGAGGGAAAGCCCATCAAGATTACTCTTCCCGACGCCCGCATCGTCGACGCCGTGGCCGGCAAGACCACGCCCCTTGACATCGCCGCCAGCATCTCGAAGAAGCTGCGCGATGAGACCGTCGCCGCCAAGGTCAACGGCCAGCTGGTCGATGCCTGGCGCCCGCTGGAGCAGGACGGAACCCTCGAGCTTCTCAACGTCGATAGCGAGGAGGGCCGACACGTCTTCTGGCATTCGAGTGCCCACATTCTTGGTCAGGCCCTCGAGCGCAAGTACGGCATCAAGCTGTGCGTGGGTCCGCCCGCCAAGGAAGGCGACAAGTACCACTTCTTCTACGAGGGCCGCATGCCCGACGACGAGCTCAAGGTCTCGAAGGACGATTTCAAGGAGCTCAACCGAATCATCGCGCAGATCATCCGCGAGAAGCAGCAGTTTGATCGGCTCACGGTGCCCAAGGAGACTGCCCTGGAGCTGTTCAAGCACAACCCCTACAAGTCGCAGATGCTGAGGGACAAGGTGCCCGAGGGCGGCAGCTGCACCGTCTACCGCTGCGGCAACCTCATCGACCCGTGCCGAGGCCCCCACGTGCCCAACACCGGCTTCGTGAAGCTGCTCGAGGTCATGGACAACTCGTCCTCCTACTGGCAAGCCAACAAGGACAACGACAGCCTCCAGCGCGTGTACGGTATCGCCTTCCGCAACAAGGAGGACCTCGATCGCTACAAGAACGACCTCATCGAGGCCGAGAAGCGCAACCACCAGAACCTGGGCAAGGCGCAGGAGCTCTTCTTCTTCCACCCGCTCAGCCCCGGCTCGTGCTTCTGGCTGCCCCACGGCGCTCGCGTGTACAACCGCCTCATCGATTTCATCCGCAGCGAGTACCGCAAGCGCGGCTTCGAGGAGGTCATCACGCCCAACGTCTACAACGCCGACCTCTGGCTCACCTCCGGCCACTGGCAAAACTACAAGGACAACATGTTCGCCTTCGAGTGCGAGGGTCGCCAGTTCGCCATGAAGCCCATGAACTGCCCGGGCCACTGCCTCATGTTCAAGCACAGGACCAGGTCCTACCGCGAGCTGCCCCTCCGCTTCGCCGACTTTGGTGTCCTCCACCGTAACGAGCTCTCCGGTGCCCTCACGGGTCTCACCCGTGTGCGCAGGTACTCTACTCGCCTACCCCTGCCGCAGCAGTGCTCTCCTTTTCTTGCCTTGGGCCTGGCTCTAATTACTTGTCGGTGATGTGTGAACCGACCTCGCGCACGACAGGTTCCAGCAGGACGATGCCCACATCTTCTGCGCGGCCAACCAGATCGAACAGGAGGTGTTCTCGTGCCTCGAGTTCCTGCAGCACGTGTACGGCATCTTCGGCTTCGAGTTCTCGCTCGAGCTGTCCACGCGCCCGGACAACTTCCTCGGCGAGATCACCACCTGGGACAACGCCGAGAACCAGCTCAAGATCGTGCTCGACAAGTTCGGCAGGCCCTGGAAGCTCAACCCCGGCGATGGTATGTTGTTGTTGTTGTTGATGATGATTCTAATCTCGAAGCCCTTCAGTTCCATCGAAGCTGACCCTTTCCCGCTCAACGCGTCGTGCAACCACCATTGCCAGGTGCCTTCTACGGCCCCAAGATCGACATCAAGATCCAGGACGCCCTCAGGAGGAAGCACCAGTGCGCCACCATCCAGCTGGACTTCCAGCTCCCGATCCGCTTCGAGCTGGACTTCATGTCCGGTGAGAAGGAGGGAGAGCTCACCCGCCCCGTGATCATCCACCGCGCCATCCTCGGCTCCGTGGAGAGGATGATGGCCATCCTGCTCGAGCACACCGCCGGCAAGTGGCCCTTCTGGCTGTCGCCCCGACAGGTACACTGCTGTGAACGCGCGCTTCTCAGTATTACTCTCATCAGAGTCTGACCCTGCATTGTTTGCGGCGTTGTTTGTGGGGCCACGCAGGTGGTTGTGATCCCCGTCGTGAGCGATGCGGCCCAGAACGAGTATGTGGAGAAGGTGAGGCAGCGCCTGCACGATGCCGGCTTCTACGTGGACAGCGACCTGTCGGACAAGAAGCTCGACAAGAAGATCCGCGAGTCGCAGCTGGCGCAGTACAACTACATCCTCGTGTGCGGCAAGGAGGAGATCGAGACCGAGACTGTCAACGTGAGGACGAGAGACAACGTCAGGCACGGTACCATCCCGCTCAACGACCTCATCGAGAAGCTCAACGCCCACGTCGCCAAGCACGAGTAAGCCCCTCTTCATCATCGTCGAAAAAGAACCGATCACGACGCCGACTACACGATGTTTGTGCCTAAAGAGAGCTCACCAATATCATCAGCATCACCACATCTTCTTGCGTTTGGGGTAACTTACCAAAAACGCGTCTGTCGGCGGGGGCCGCCTCGGAGCTGGTCGGCACACCGTCGGACTTAGGGCGGCGGTAACTGTTGTGGCGATGAACAGGGGAGGGAGGACGGAGCGGACGGACGTTGGCTGTTTTCGAGGAAGAAGAGGAGCAACAGCCCAGGCCTAACCCTCCGAGCAAGCTTCCCGCCAGGGGTCCCCGATGGTCGGGAAGCGTCGAGAGCTCTCTCTTCATTCTACATCGCCACCGCCAGCATCACGCGACCCAACGAGGCGCAGCAAGCACGCAGCTGAAAGATGAAGTGGAACAGGAGTGTTGTAGTGGTTGTACTCGCGTTGGTGGCCATCTTGTACGCGGCCACTGGCGCTACACGAACCGTGGGCGATGATGGCTGTGTTCAGACTCCGTCCAACGCCACTTGCGCCAACTACACGATGCCGTCGGCGATGGTGCAGGAGGGCATCAAACATCTGTGCGACGAGATGCCCACCATGCCCGGCTGTACAGTCCAGCGGGTCTGCGCTGATGAAGCCAAGAAGGTCGGAGCCAGCCCCTACTGCAAGGAGTTCTCCATCTTGAAAGGTTTCCAACCCAAATCTGCTCCGGAAGTTTGTGGGCGAAGATGAGCTGAGTTGATAATTTGAGTGGTGGTGTAACACTAGATCTCTGCGTGGACATGCCCAACATGGCCGGTTGTGCCAACTACTCCTCAATGTGCTCCAACGAGTCAGTTGTCCAGCAGTGCCAGTCCAAGGTTCTCCTCCTTCTCGTTCATGGTGCCGGCGCACGCTGACCACCGAGCTCTACCCCAATGACAGGCCTTGCCCTTGCCTTCGACCATGGCCACGTCGGACCTGATTGAGCAGATGTGTGGCGAAATGACTATGGCCGACTGCGACCGCTGCCAGAAGCAGGTTGAGCCTCTCCTTCTTGATTCAGTTCCTGTCTTTTCCAAATGGCTCACATGTTTTGGCGACCAATCAGGGTTCCCTGTTGCAGTGTGACCTGCTCCTGGTCTACAGCGACCTCTGTCTGGTACCACCCCCTGCCAGCTCTAATATCAACAGTGACTGAATTGCAATGCTAACACTCTTCACTCAGTCAATGCCTGAGATGAGCGGCTGCAAGGCGTGGAAGGAGATGTGTGCTGCTCTGCCGAGCTGGTCACTCTGTCCATCGTCAGCCAACCCTGGAGGCAGTGCTGCGGTACCGGACTTACTTTTGTGGGCTTTCCTATTTAGCCTGTGATCACTGATCTGGTCTCCACACCTGCAGGCGCGCATGGCGGACATGTACTACCAGTCGCTCTTCCTTACCCAGCTTTTCCGGTGGTGACGCAGACCCGCGTTTCAGGTGTTGAGCATTAGGATGCAATAAACAGGATTGAAGCCATGTGCTTGCCGCAACCGTTAAGATTGTGGCCAGTCAATGATGTCAGTGATTCACGGATGTGTGTGTAGGCGCCGTAGTTAAGTGGTAAAATTCTCGCTTAGGGTGCGAGAGGCCCCGGTTCGATTCCGGGCGGCGCCCTATCTTTTGCTTGTTTTAGTGCAGCTCGAGTGTGTTCAAGGGTCGGTGACCTTTGAACACACTCCCGGGCGGAGCTGGTCAATTTCGATTGCTTTCTTTATGGCCTGAGAGGAGGATTGGGGGGGAGGGTATCACTCGTCCGGTTGGGGGCTGAGACGTGCAAGGTCGCGCTCGAGGAGCCTGATTTGCTTCAGGAGGTCCAATCGCTGCACCACGTCGATCCGCCCCTTGTTCCAGTCCAACTGGAAACACCCAACACCACCCACCACGCTTCAGCAGTTGAACAACCTGCCAGTGGGCGCGTGCGTGTGCGGTGGTGCGTGTGCGGCCAAGAGGATTGTTGATGGCGAACCTGGGATATGTGTAGGCCGTGGAGGGAAGACACCACAATCTCGTTGATGCCGTCGTTGGTCACGTCGACCGCCCGCACGCAGAAGATCGGCTCCGGATAGCTGTGCCGCCACGCCAGCCTGTACTCGGGGCCTCGCTGCCGCTCCTCCTCCTCCTCTTCCTCGTCGTCGTCCTCCAGCGGCTCCACAGCTTCGGGTGTCGCTGCCCGTTTGGTAAATAAGCCAGAGCTCTGTATGCACGTGTCGTGTCGTGTGTGCGGTGCGTGTGTTGTGGTGCGTACTCTCAAAGGAGCTGAAGGTAAGTGATCGGGATGTGGGCGTGCTGGTCATCATATCGGCCATCGCCGCTGACGACGACGACGCCGTCTCTTCGTCGATGGTGGAGAGCGACGGGTCGGAGCTGCTCAGGTTGGGGTGCGACAGGTTGCGCTTCCCCAGCATGCCGCTCCCCCCACCGCCGCCGCCGCCGCCACTCAACTGCATCTGCAATCGCTGCGAGAGGGATCGGGCTCGCGACTCGGTCGACAGGAAATGCGACAGGCTCCGCCCCGTCTTCCGCGCCCTGGACGCGAAATAATGGTTGACACGCAACAACCACCCGACCGATCACAATCAATCGTCGATACGAGGAGAATCATACGATTGGGAGAGGGACGGGGCGTACTGGGGTGGTGGCGAGGAGGGGGGCGGGGTGAGCTTGTAGACGAGGAGCTCCTGGGAGAAGGTGGTGATCAGGATCTCGAGGCACCCGTCCCAGTCGATGTCCGTCACCTCGCACGACAGCACCGAATCGAACGCCTCCGACTGCTCCAGCTGCAGCGGCTGGTTGAGCCCTGTTGACACACACGACACACACGACACACACGACACATACACACACACACACACACGACACACACAATCAGCCCAGAGTGCGTGCGGCCGCGCGTGTGCGTGTGCGATTGAGAAAAGGGGTTAAACCGTTTTTGATGATGGAGTGGTAGACGATGGCGTAGCCTGAGGCCCCGCCGACGACCAGGTGCACGTCGTCGAGAGGGGGAGCGGAGGAGGAGAAGGAGAACGAGGGCTGTGAAGAAGAAGAAGACGACGACGACGACGAAGCAGAAGCGGGAGAAGAAGCGGCCGGATCACCTCCGGCGTCGGAAGGAAGAGTGAACGAATCCGACGTGGAGAGGGTGAAGGAGGAGGCCGTAGATGAAGAAGAAGACGACGACGAAGCGGGAGATGATGGTGGCGGGTGCTCGGAGGAGGCCTGCTCCATGTTCTTGTGCAGCTTCAGCACCTCGGGGTGCATGCACTCCTCGTCGGCGCCGATGCTGCGGCACTGCCTCGACGACCTGCACATGCCGGCAAAATAGAGATAAATAAATATTAGTACTATGAATATTTATAATAGATAAATAAAATAAATAAATAACAGAGAGGGCATTACCGCGGGCTGAATATCTTGACGCTACTGATCGGACCCTCCAACACGGCCTCCTCGTGCGTGGTGCCCGCCTCTATGATAACACATTTATAAAATGTCAAGGCTATAATAAATAAATATAAATATAAATAAATATGGGGCGACGTGGCGTTGCGATGTGGTGGGGAGGGCTGCTAACGCACCGTTGGTTATGGAGAGACACACCTGGCCACTGTGGCAGCCGTACGCCGTCACGCGGATGCCGGGCGCCTGCCAGATGTCCACACACAGTGGTGGCCTACACGACACACACGACGCACGACACAAAGCGACGCGTGTTAGGCTCTCTGCGCAAGCCGTTGCCGGGGGTCTATCTGTACCCGGGCGGCTCTGCAAACTCAGGCAGCACCGAGTCACGCAGGCTCGGCTCGCATTCCGTCAAGGCGCCCGGTTCTGACGTCTGTTCGCGGTCGCTCGATCGATCGACCGATCGGTCATGAAGTAAGCTCGCCGAGCCACGCGTGAAGTGACGACCCGCGCAGTTCATGCCAGGGCGGTGGGAGGTAATATGTGGTTGGGGGGGGGGCTCACCTGTTGGAAGAGGTGCATTTTGTTGTCGTAGCCCGAGACCAGGACGACCTCCTGGTCATCACCCTGCTCATCGTACAGCCTGGACGTAAACGCAAAGTTGAATTTGACAAACAAACCAAAGCCAAGCCGGGCAGCGATGACGATCATAACAACGACAATGAGAGCAGCAGCAGCTGCTGCAGCAGCAGGCCAGAAGAGCGCGAGTGCGTACGTGGTGTGCGAAAGGGAGAGCGGCATAAAGTCGAGCGGAATGGCGCAGCTGTCGTCTGCGGGAAAGCGAATGGGAACAATCAATTGCGAGCGCTTCACTCACTCGCGCGCGTGTAGAAAGGTGCTGGATTGGGGAGCGGGAGGGGACGTTACTGGAGAGGGTGATCAGGGGCACCGACGCGGTCGAGCTGAGACCGTAGGCGATGAGCAGCGCCTTGCCCTCCTGCACGAGGCCGGGCAGAGAGAGGAAAACGTTCAAGAGAAGTGTGAGTAGTGCGAAGAATGGTTGATGTGTGCGCGCTCAGTCGTTACGGCGTCGCTACGTACGGGAGAGGCGACGACGATGGTGATAGTGGGCGCCTTCTGCGGGCCACGGGTGAACGAGTCGATGGCGAGGATCTCTGGCGGGAGAGGAGAACAGAACACAACACGACACGACGAGCATCACCAGCGCAACAAGAAGGTGGTTGAGCAAAAGGCGAAGTAGAAGAAGGAGAAGGAGAAGAAGGAGAGCGGAGTGGATGGGGAGGCACGCACGGTTGTTGTGAGGCGTGGGGAAGGGGAATGACCGGAACTTGACCCCGCCGTATGCTTCGACGGCTTCGACAATGTAGAGCTCCAACCGGGTAGCGACCAGAATCTTCAACTTGCCGGCGTGCTCGAACGTGGCGAGCCCGAAAATGTTGGTGGCTGATATCAGTGTGACCTTTTAGTATTTGTTTGGATTTATACTCGAATTACAAATAAATCAAAAGATAATAAATAAAGCAGCAGAATTATCATCAAGAAGGGTGGAGCCACACCAGATGGTAGTCGAAAATATTGGATCTCTTCCATTTGTGGCTGCCGTGAGCTCACACCAGCGCCGCCTCTCCCTTGCAGCGGGTCCATTTCCAGAGTCTCAATCTCTGCGATGGAGTCTCAATCTCTGCCACCGCTCCGATCTGGGATAAATCCGGGCGCGGACAGCTCCAAAGCCGGAAAAATACAAGTGTGGAAAAATGGGGCCTTTTTTTCCTTCTTTCTTTCTCTCCATCCCCCAGCAAGAGGTCTCCGACGCCGGTCGTATCGTCCTCTTCCCCTTCTCCCTGAGGTACCGTCATGTCGGATCACAAGCACTACCACCACCTCGTCATCGATGGTCGCGGCCACCTTCTCGGTCGTCTGGCTTCCATCGTCGCCAAGCAGATCCTCAACGGCCAGCGCCTCGTACGTGGACATCCACCCCCCTCGCATTTCAATGCTTGATTTGGAGCCGAAGGAACGATCAAATGATTGACCTTCCACCTGCACAGGTTGTGGTCCGTTGCGAGGAGATCAACGTCTCCGGCTCGTTCTTCCGCAACAAGCGTACGCATTTCCCATTTGCCCCCATTTTGCTACACAGGGTACTAATTGATCTTGCATTCGGGTCGTGCAGTGAAGTACCTTTCGTTCCTGAAGAAGTGCTCGAACGTCAGGCCCACCCATGGTCCCTACCACTACCGAGCCCCGTCCAAGATCTTCTGGAGGACCGTCAGGGGCATGGTTGCTCACAAGACCGCCCGCGGTGCTGAGGCCCTTGGTCGCCTGAAGGTCTTCGAGGGTGTGCCCCCTCCCTACGACAAGATGAAGAGGATGGTGTGCCCCGCTGCCCTCCGCGTGCTCCGCCTCAAGCCCGGCCGCGCCTACACCGTGATTGGCCGTCTCTCCGAGGAGGTCGGCTGGAAGCACGCCGCCACCGTGAAGAAGCTCGAGGAGAAGAGGAAGGTGAGGTCCGCCGCCTACTACGAGAGGAAGAAGGCCCTTGCCCGCCTCCAGACCAAGGCTCTGGCCAACCGTACCGAGCAGCTCAAGCCCGTCCTCGAGACCCTCACTGCCTACGGCTACTAGACGATCCGTCAGGTGTGTTCTGCTGCTACTCTCTAAAACCAAAAACCAATACACATGATGCCCTCTTGCTCACCCATTTGCGCATTGCTGCGCATTAGCCTCTTTAAAATTGATTTATTTTTTTTAACGAGGATCTGTTGATGAAGGTGAGTTCCGCTCACACAAGTTGCAGAGCACAAACTCGTTCCAACGCTTCAAGAATGCCCGTCGAGCTTGTACGGTGGATCACAGTCAGCGCGCAGACAACGTGGCCGAGTGGTTAAGGCGGTAGACTCGAAATCTACTGGGGTCTCCCCGCGCAGGTTCAAATCCTGCCGTTGTCGACCACTTCCTTTTGGTGTTTGCCTCCCTCCTCTGCAGGCCTGCAGAAATCAAAATGCCCAATCCTTGGTAGCTGTTGTGGCTCTTCTCTTCCAGGCCAATTGGCTTGTTTTATCTCTCCATTTGATTTTATGGCTATTGATTGGTGCAGAAGCCCAATAGCATTCCAATTGTGCCTTGGTGTCCTTGGAAACAGGTGAAGTGAAAGAGCAGAAGGCTGCAAGTATTATGGGCAGCACCAATTACATTCAATAGACACCATCTTATCATTGGGAAAGTACTATTGTTGTTTCCTGAAAAACCTGGGGTGACAGTGTGCAAATCTTGGGGCTGGCAACTATGCCACCTTTTATTAAGGCATTTGGTTTTGGTAGATGGATGAAATTTCTGGGCTTGGTCATGGTGGATGTAGTGATGCAATGAGATTACAAGCAGATGCAGAAAGTACAGTGCACCTTGTCATCACTCTTTCATTCTCATTAGAAGATGCAGCCACCAGGGAGGAGGGCATTGAGCTTCTCTGGCACTGTGCAGTCTACACCCAACACCTTGGTTCATTAAAGAACAGTTGCTTAGGTGAACTGGTTGTTAGAAGACAGGCTGGCACTGATCTTGTGTGGGGGCAAGAAATTCACCACAGAGGAGAAGAGAACAGTACAGATGGAGTAGGGGGTTTGGGAGCTGGGCCAGTCAAAGTTGTTTGAGGGTGTCACCAAGCCTATGCAAAAGGCTGATAGGGGCCTATGCAGCTTTCACCTCCTCACCCTGCTAGCCATCCTCCTCATTATCACTGAGGGTCCCAACATGGGGCATCACATAGGCAAAGGGTCATGAGCTCTGTCTGCAGGCCTGCAGAGGAGGGAGGCAAACATCAAAAGGAAGTGGTCGACAACGGCAGGATTTGAACCTGCGCGGGGAGACCCCAGTAGATTTCGAGTCTACCGCCTTAACCACTCGGCCACGTTGTCTGCGCGCTGACAGCTACCCAGAGGCACAAGCTCTACGGGCATTCTGAAGGAGACACTAAAATATTTATCAGCCCTGCTCCGTCTTGCCAACCCAGTTGGAAGCTTCCACAGTAGAGTGGCATGCCACGTCACCAGAGACGAAGTTTGTACAACGTTTATTCACATTATTGGCGTCTGCGTCGGCTTGGGCTTCACTTGGGCTTCTGGAATTGGTCATCGCCACCCATCTCGTTGCTCCACTTGTCGGCCAGAGTGATGGCGGCGTCCCTCGACAAAAGCTTGGGGCTGTCCCGCATCAGGTAGGGTTCGTTGCCCCTCGCCTTCAGCCTGTTGAGGTGGGTGTGGCGAATAAGCGGCGTAAATAAAAAGGCACCTTCGGCTGGGCCATTGTAACAAAGAAGAACGTACACGACGTCGTTGTGGGTGGCAAAGGTACGAAAGCCGATGTAGGCGGCCCACAAGCAACCGCCACCGACCACAGGGAAGAGGGTCAACCACACCGCCTTGGTCTGTAAAGAAAGAAGAACCGTAAGAACCGACGTGTAGCGCCACTAGTTGAACGAGGGCAGGGTACGTTTTCGTTGTAGGTGCGACGAATGGCTTGCATGTCTGAAGGTAGTAGTAGGGGGGCAGCTGGGGAGGTAGTGGGCGAGGTGGTGCGTGTGAAGTTGTGGGGCGAGTTGGAAGAAGAAAAAGCTGGAAGCCAGTACTGGTAACGCTTTGGCGACCACCAATCCGCTGCGCCTCTTGGGAGATGGTCAGGGATTGGGTGCATTCCAGCCATGCCGCAGCCACAATTGGAAAACGACAGATGACTCCCGGCAGCGCATTGGCCGTGACACACCCTTCAGGGTGGCGATGAGATGACGTGGAAGCAAAACGCGTTTTGTATCGTGTTGTTTGGGGGCAGCACAAGCCTCGGGTGCTGCAGTACTTCACCTCTCCTCCGTTCTACTCTCACTTTCGCCTCCGCCGCACAACGAAGGGTATCAGAGGGCCGCGTTGCAACGCTTTCCACCACGCGTTGGTGGCTTCTTCGTCTTTTTCATTTTTGGTCTGCTTCGTCTTCGATGGTTGAGCGGTAGGAGTGATGAAGCTTCGTCGGTGCGTCTTCTTCTTCTTCTTCTTCACGTGACGGAAGATAACTTGGAGAGAAGACGTTGACGATGCGTGGCAGTCTTCAGAGTGGCGTAGGTGTGGAGTTGGCTTTTGCTGTTGATCCGCGAGGTGTTGTCGCTTCGTTCGTTATCTTGTTTGGCATGTTTTGTCGTTCGTTTCCTTCTTCGTTCTTCGTTCGTCGTTCGTCGTTCGTTCTTTCTCCTTTTCTCTTTGTGTTCTGTGCATTCTTTCGTTCGTTAGTTCGTTGCGCTGTAGGCGGCAGGCCTGCTTACTGAGCGTTGGTGGCCTGCGGGGCGCCGTCAGTGTTCGTTCGTGTCATCGCGGTGGTGGTGGTGGCAGTAGTAGTAGGGTTGCCACTGGCCAAGGCGGCGACGGCGGGCTGGGCAGCAGCGGCGTCAGAAGGTCCGTTGTTTTCGGCGGCAAGCTGCTGCTCCAACTTCTTCATCTTCTTCTCCACCTTCTCACTCTTGCGACGCACCTCCTCCTCCTCCATCTCGTTCATCTTCGCTTGGAGGCCATCACACCTGTGTCGCAGGTCCTCGACGGTCTTGCAACAGCAACACACACAACACACAACACAACACACAACACACAACACACACAACGTCCTATTAACTCTGCAGCACATAAAGGACACACGAACCGCACACACACGCGCATGCGTACCTTGTTGGCTTCGGCGAGGGCGGCCTCGAGGGCCATGTTGGTGGCCTGCGACTCCTTGAACCGCTGGATGAGGTCTATGTTCTTCCGCACCAGGTCGAGGTTCTTCTGCAGCAGATCTCCCGTGGCCTTCTCCAACTCTGCGATCTTGGCCGCCGCCGCCGCCACCTGCTCGGCGGCCGCCGTCTGCTGTGCCTGCGCCTGCGGTTCTACTGCAAGCGTCGACGTCGCAGTCGGCGTGGGCGTGGTCCCCGGTTCGGTCTTGATTTCTTTCTTATCGACGCTGGGCGGCTTGTTGTCCCGGGAGGAGGAGGAGGAGGTGGAGGACCTGCGGGAGGTGGCCGACTTCTCGAGCTCATCGACCCTGTCGCGCAGGCTCTCGTTCTGCTTGCGCAGGTCGGCGTTGTTCTTCTTCATGTGATCGTTGGAGCGCGCGAGCTCTTCGTTCTTTTCCTTGAGCTCGCTGTTCTTCTTCAACAGCACGAATCTCTGCTTGCGCA